CCTCCAAGCCTTGCCTGGTAGCTCCAACCCGGCCTTCTTGCTATCAACTAGATAGCTGAGTAACCAGGCCAACATAACTGCACCTTTACAACCAAGGTCGTTGTTATGGTAGCAGAAAGTTTCGTGCTCGATGGTACAAGGTCCAAGTTGCGACGGCTTTGCATTGAACAGAAAAACTTTGGCAAGGAACTGATCTATAGAACGAACCTGATTCATAGGCAAGGAATGACACACAAGGCCAAGTTGCTCACTGGATGGTATGGTCGTTGGGTCGAAGTGGCTATTTGAAAATTCTCTCACAATGATTGGATCCCAACAAACCCAGCATTGGTCTCCGTCATAATCACCACCAGAAAGCAGAGAAGCTAATGGGACATCACCGGTGGTTGGAAAAACAATCACATCTTTAAAGTGACGTAGCTCATTTTTGTAAACCGCCCTTCTCTTTTGAATATCGGTTGGAAGATGAGCAGGGAGGCGAGCGACTAGAACATTCATGTCGTGCAGTTCCGTACCAACCACAACTGATCCATCATCCCATTTGTGGGAGAACCCAAAATGTACCTCGTCCGGGCTTAATACTCCAAGAGGATCTGCAATGCAATATGCATACGTCGATTGAGAGACACTGACTTTTAACTTTCTGAGGCTGTCAAGGTAATCCTTCAGGATCCGTCTGAAGAGTTGTGTTAGGTATGGAAGTTTTAGTGGTAAGAAACCGCTATCCAGAAGAAGGACTGCCTGCTCCACGTATTGAGACGGGAAAAAGTTATCAATACGACGGGTTTGCCGTTTATAACTGTATCCGTCATCACCGAAACGCTTCATCTTTTGAAGCCATTTGCGACATGCAACACCATTGGAAAGATGTATAACTTTCAAGAACTCCTTATAAAAAATAGAAACTTCTTGCTGTATGAGCTTTTTAATATGACTGTGACCAACACCGCCATGTTGAAGGACCTTGAGAACTTGCAGATTCAGGGAGGAAGGATTGAGTGGCTGCGACCACTGAACCACCTCAAATGTCAACTGCGTGTTGTCGGCAACTAGCCTTGGATTGTGAGGAGGTCCATGTGGATAACTTATTTTGAGCTGTGACTCAGTAATTTCCAGTCCGAAATCTCGATCTCCACCCTTAAACCTTGAATCATCACGATCGACCATCCATATCCCTTTTGCGCCAGAAATTCTGCCCTGATAGCAGGCGGGCAGGGTTTCCAGATCCAAAATACGCTTGATTTCCAACCCAAGTGATCTCGACATAAGCGCACAGCCATCATTCATTACGGGTCCAGGTGGATCTGGACAAAATATGACCTCCTCCCGTCGTAGAACCACCGTGCTCAGTGTACGTGACAGCCCAAGTGCGAGTCGCTGAAATAGCTTGCAGTCAGATTGATGGATATTATCGGCTATAGGCATATGCCAGTTAATTAAAGCGTCTATACTCATCTTTGTCCGGTTTCCAGAGGTTTGGTCCTGGAGCGGAATTCCCATCGTGGATTCGCCAAAGTCAGTTCCATTAATTGCAAACATAAACACCCTACTTCGCTTAGAACCTGTTTCCAGTTCAGGCGACATTTTTATGCCATTTTTCCTTGGGGTTCTTTTTGATTTCTCTTTAACATCTTCAAGGTAAAACGATCTCCACACCCTCCCAAGGAGATGATGTTCACTGTTTGCTAACCATCTCGAGATCGCTTCCAGTAAAATCCCCCTTTCTTCAGTATCCCTGGCAAGGCGAGATGGTGGGCTTGTCAAGACTGGGAATGTTATTTCAAGGAATCGATCAGATCCAAATCGTCTGCAAAACCGGTAACTTCTTTCAAATTTTAGAGGGTTCAGAGAAAGGTCAAAATAGCCCTTCCGTTTGCACCACGACAGTTTACCACTGAGAGTAACAACGTCACCGGTTGAACGCTTATCCTCATACATTTCCACTGCCATTTCCCAAGGCCCTGACTTCGTTTTCTCCAAGGATGTTGGCAGACCGTCATGGAGGTGATTCCAGAAATCCTCATATTCAGGTAACTTGCGCCGATCCTGGTCTACTTTTTCGAGAAGGGTTTCAACTGGAATACGACGAGAATGGGCAGCCCTTTGGGCCTCGTATCGGTATCGAAGCGGAACAGTACTGTTGATAATATATTGTTTTGAGAAAGGCCCATTCTCTTCAAGATCTCGAATAATATTACGGATTTTGTCTTCTCGACAATCCAGCCCATGCTTGTGTCCAAAACTTGCGTTGTCGAACAGGGCTGTGGCTTCTTCACTTTGTAAGGCCTGAATTGTCGAAGGGCCCTGTAAAATCTCAATCAACAGATTTTTTCCAAAGCCAGGGGAAACGGATGTAGCCACAGTACTAGCTCCGAAAGATGTAGTTAAGGATGTTGGCTGGCTTGCTATAGTTGAAAAACTTGTGTTCGCATTATGTTCCGAGTTCTGGTTACCGAGAGGCGTTTTCCCGAAGGATGGGGGTGAAAAAGTACTCTGGACCTTTTTGGAAATTGTCATAAACTCTTCTATTCTCCGTTGTTTTTGAGCTTTCTGTGGTGTTTTCCCTTGTTTCTGGTGATTATTATCCGATGAATCAGCCGAATCCACTGAATCAACAATGGGAGCAATATCGAAATTGTCCAGATCGGAATACTCAAATTCATCATCCGATGACAACGTGGTAATATGGAACGAATGGGAAGGGGAATTAGGAGCAGTCACAAATACCTCGGAATCATTGATGTCGCTCTTTCTTTTAGAGGGAGAAGTCATCTTGCTTGATGTTTGCTTTCGAAGGATGTCTGGGGATACAATTGCGGATCCTGATATTGATCCTCCAGCAAATGCAGCCGGAGAGCCGGATTCCAACTCTGTCAATGACTGCTCAGTGGAAGGTGTGGTATTCACGTCTTTAGATATTCTAGACGCCCCCCTGGTCACAATGTATTCCTCGTCACGCAAGAGAGTCCACAAGTAATCCAAGACCTTAGCCCGCTGTTCCGGAGTGATATTCCTCGCCATAGACAGGGCGTTGCTGCGGATAAATGGACGCGATGATGGCAGGGTGCCCGGTTCTTGACGTGTCTTGGGCACCCAGTCCGACAAAAACGCCCTCGCCCATTCCTGGAAGGAATCGATGACTCGCTGAACATTGTCGGGATTGTTGTAATATAGAAACTTCATGAGACCAACACATCTTTCGGGAAATGTTCGTTCCCCCCCAGGCCGGTGTTTCGGGGTTGATACTGCAGGATTCGGAAGGTCTAGGTTAAACGTCACATTGAGATTGTTGATAAGCAGATTGAAGTCATGGCTGCTCTTGGGGGTTCGCGGGGTTGCCATTGAAGAATCCGGCTGCCACGGTCATGAGCTCGCGTATGACAGAAACCTTCGTTATACTGAACAACGCGGTAGAGCTCCCACCGTTTGGGAGTTGAGCAATGGAAGGTTGAGATCAACACGTTGAAAAAAAAAATAAAAAAAAAAAATAAAAGAGAGAGAGAGAGAGAGAGAAATTCCAGAACACACAAAAACACAAATTGCATCAATTTGTCTTCGTAATTGCAAAAACCTGTATCCTTACAGAATATGCTGAAGAACAAAATCAATTTGAATTTGGCATTGGAGATACCAGACAAGGCTATGTTATAATAACAGGAGAGAAGAGGGGTGAAGCGTCAAAAACAAATATAGTGCTAACCATATTATTATTATTATTGTGTGTCCAGTCGCATGGAGCTGTTAGCGCCCGTAGCCCTCTCGGAATATTCTGTGGGAGCTAACAGAGTCCCTCGGATCTAAAAACAGAAAAGTGCCCCTAAGTCTTAAACCAGGAACGGCAATTCGATGAGGAACTCCACATGGACTTCTCCATGTCGCGGACGCAACTAACGAAATCGCTTCCAAGTGTCTGTATGGTCGAAGGCGCTTTTTGATGTAAGCTGTGGAGGTTTGAGAAGTCTCTTCGGGCCGATGATTATGTAATGAGCGTCGCGACCTCAAGGGGTGACAAGTGGAAAATATGATTGATTAGTATGTCCACTTTTCTCCTTCGGTTTTATTCCGGGGGCAAGGGATGCTTTCATACAGGAGATGTCAGGAGTTTCGATTCTGGGAGGCTAAGGCAAAGTGAGCAGGATGCATAAAAGCAAAAGAGCATCTTTTTTAAATTCTGCCTTGGAGGCCTTAACGATACTAAATATGTGGCATATAAATATATTCGCTCGTCTCATAGGCTCCTTTCGAGCATAAGATCGGCTTCGAGAGCACCAGGTCAAACTTGAGGAGCGATTGCAAGGTTGGTCCTGTTGTCGCGTAGAACTGACATAAAAAAACATAGAGAGGTGGTCATTAAAAAAGATATGGTGGGAAATGTTGGGTGGGTGACCATTGGAGAGTAGCTTCATCCACACAACCTTACGTTCGGAATATATTACATCATGCAAGCACGGATAGTTAAATCTGTTCCCCAGCACGATGAAGCAAGCCTATCAGCTTTGCGCATGGAGAATGATATAAAACACAGGGGAAAGGAACCAAAGCACTATTACACCACATAAATCAACCAACTTGGGAACAAGAATGAAGTAACTCCTAACAAATGGCGTTAAGAAACCTGTATTCTCACATTGACTCGAAATTACCAATAGGAATTAGCGAAGTTCGGGCCGACACCGTTTGCTGACACGAAAATGATTATAGCCAAGCTGATGTGCGCCAGAAAATCCTGAGTTGAAGCAGTGTTTGTCGTAAGAGGGTTTCCCCCCCAAAGAAATAAAGCGAGAGAGAAAAAATATGTGTTGAAAGGATTTTTGGACGAAACACTCATCAAGATAGGAGAATCGTAAATGCGGTTAAACAGGACATGACATGAAAATTGAAACCGTAGATGCAAGGATACCGTAAGTGCAAAGCTAGAGCCAAGAGCCCAAGCCATAAAACGCAGGACGTATAGGCAAAAGATAAATGGAATAGAAGATGTCTCTCCCAGACCAACATCATTAGAACAACCAAGAAACAAAATGACGATAGAAAACCCCCGCCTTTTTGTGATTTTTGTTCTCAGCTGCTTGACTGGCCAAAAACTCGGCCTCTTCACGATCGATCTTATCCTTCCCGGTCCACAAATCCGCCTCGTGGGGTTTCACGACTTTGGATTTGGTAACAAATTTGTATCCAAAAATGAGAATAATATATAATGGGATACCCAAATAGGCAGTGATGAAGTTCTTGTAATCAAACGATCCATTTGCTTTAGGGTCGCGAGCAAACACGTTGAAGCTCTTGGTAAGCGAGATGAGGATGCAGAAACCGAGAGCGAAATATGAACCGTAGACGCCAAATGGTGCAGTGAATGCCATGGAAGTTTCCGGAACCCCCTGCGCATTGCGGGCTCGGACGAAGTAAATGTGAGTAACAAGGATTGATACCCAGGTCAGCAGCCCGAATACGGTCACTAAGTTGACGAAATAGCCGAACACGATTTTGCTATCGTTTGAGACGTTCATGAATGCTAGCATTGCAAATAGTGTCGAGAGCCCCAGAGCATAGATGGGAACACCCCTTTTGTCAGTCCTGGCAAGGATTTTGGGTGCTTTGCCTTCACGAGCCAGGCCGTATATCGTTCTTGTTGCAATGTACAAGTCCGAGTTGGAAGCAGAGAACACGAAGAGCAGAATACATCCATTGAGAATTCCCGGGAGCACCTTAATGCCGGAAAGCTGAATGGCCACTACGTAGGGGGAGGCAGCGGCAGTATTAGATTTGGTCGTTGAGAAGATAAGGTCCTGGGAGTTATACGGAACCAACATTCCAAGGAGAAAGACACTGAAGATATAGAAGAACAGGATGCGGTAGAAGGTCAATTTGATAGCGCGGGGGATGGTCTTGCGAGGGTTCTGGGCCTCTCCAACAGTCACACCAACCAGCTCGGTTCCGAGATATGCAAACGACGCCATGACCATTGTAGACCAGAATGCGAGGAAGCGGCCAGAACTGCCCTCGTTAATGTATGTGTTGAAAGCACCTGGATTTTTCCAGTAGCGGAACCCCTTTCTGTCGTGGTCCGGTCCACCGCCCAAGGCAAGGATCAGAGATAGAAGGATTACACTGACGATCACAAGGACCTTGAAGGTCGACAGCCAGAATTCGAATTCACCGAAAAAGCGAATGCCGAAGTAATTGATACACACTATGGTAACCAAGAAAACGGTTATCCAGACGCCTGGATTTACCTTATTCCGGTCGACCCAGTAGGAGATCACTAGCGCAGCCGCGGTTAGCTGGTTCGGCGTAACTATAATGTATTTACAGTAGTACCTGGGGTTTCACTATCTGTCAGCTAACGGACCTTCCACTTCGCATTGATGTTAGAGGTTGAACAGAGGTTGAACTGACGAGTAACCAACAGCAAAACCCAGAGCTGGATCACAAAAGCGAACGGCATAACCGGTAAAACCGGAGGGCAGAGGAAGCCATGCAGCCATTTCGCCGAGAGCACACATAACGAGATAGACGATGAAACCGACAAAAGTATACGAGATTAAAATAGCCGCAGGCTAGAAAATTGTTAGCATTTTTGGCAATCTGAAAACCATTCGCCGGATTTAGAACCACTGGAATCACTTACACCAGCTCTAATTGCCCCCCACAAAAAAATTAGTCAGAAGAAGATAAACATAAACTTAAGAGAAAGTAACTGCATTATTAGGAAAGATGGACAGCTACAGAGTACAAACCTTGCAAGAGCAGAGCCCGTACCAATAATAAGTCCAGTCCCAATGGCACCACCAATAGCTGCATGGTGAACTTAGTTAGCAATGCAATCGCAAAGAAGCCTATGACAAGAAAGAACTGAATTACCAATCATGGTGATATGGCGGGCTTTCAGGCCACGATGAAGCTCATATCCGTCCTCCTCGGCGTTGTCGATGACGCCTTGCGCCTCCGATGTGGTTCTATATTGTTCAGGGAACTCATTTTTTGTCTGACTCTCCGTGGAAGAAACATCCACTTTGCTGCGATTCCAGACAGCCATACTGTCAGGGCACGGCGATTCTACAAAGAATACACCGTGAATTTGGTTCTTGCACCAGCCAGTGCGGAAATACAAGGGTAACAGGATCGAACTCCTTAAATGCCGATCAGATGATGAATCCGCAAGGGGGAGGGGGCAGAACAAAAAAAGTAGAAGAGGTCTTCAAGAAGCAAATAGCCGGGCCACCAGGAAGGAAGATACAGCACAGATCAGTGGAATGCGCAGGATCACTGGTGTTATACAACATATCGAAGGGTAGGGACCCAAATATCTGGGGGGGTTGTTCAGATTATATATCTCGGGGAACCGGGCTAAAAGGCACATCCAAGTTATATTAAGATTAAACTCCAGTCCAATTATTTCCCAGTGTTTCTCGGAAGGTTTGGCTGTTCGAAGAGGCGTCTGTATAATTCGCCGGTAAGGTTCCTCGGACCCCTATGAAGTAATCATATTGTGACCTTCCTCAGCCAACATCATGGGTGGTTTTCGCCGTTCTCATGCTTCTTTGGGATATATTACGCATTCCTTTAACCTAGGACTAGAACCACATAACATGGGTAAACTAAGGTATCCATTCCTTTGGCGGGACGATGGTAGTAAGCTGGCAAACTTGGACCCTGCAGTGCCGTTTCGACCGACCTGTCCGCTCTCTAGGGGCGTTGGCGATCCGCCTCAAAAAGGCAAGGAAAAAGAAGCTCCCTGGAACAACCGGAGAAGACAGGAGTGGAGTGACATAGGAATATGCGTGCAGGGGTTGTCATTCGTCAACTTATCCTAGCTTTTGACTGTTTTGCTTTCTCCATTCCATGGATGATAAAAAGACAGATGAAAACAGTACTTTTCACCGTTGGATGGAGTAATTCCTATTATAAGTTAGAGATAACATAAACCATAAGAGGAAAACCTCATTAGCATGAGAAAAACATCGTAGTTCCATGGTTGGCCTGAAATCCAGTTTCCCGAAGAACGGTAACCGAATGATTTCAGCCACCCAACAATTTCACTAATCTACTACCCTACGGCTCTCTGCTGAATCGCGAATTTTGAAGCAACCATTAATTGAATTACTACTAGCTATTAAATATTAAATGAGTGTATTATTGATTACATTTCAATTTGTATGATTAAGAAAATAAATGAGTGTTTGACTTAATAGCATAGTCAGAACAGCTGACTTTGCTTTTCATAAGAAAGAGAGGTAAAGAAGTGCTGGATAGTGATTCTGATACTGAATTTGATTGATTTCCCAACGAGACAGTCTGTATAGGCCTTGTGGGTTTGGATTTGACTGTATTTGCTTTGTGCTGATGTTTGGGTGACTGCTTCAGTGCCTTCTCAGCAGTCTTCCACTTCTTAGATTCAGCTACTTCATACTTTTTAATCTCTGCAGTCTCTCAAGTAGCCTTTTAGGCTGCTTTGCACTCAGCATCTTCAATAGTCCTTTGATCTTGATGAATAGCTCATTGAAGCTGAAGTTCTTTCTTTCAAGCAGTCTTTGCATTTTTTTCACTCTCTAGCTCAGTCTCACACTTATGAGCCGCTGTAAACTTACTAGGTAAAAAGAATAGAGCCTGCCCAGGTTTATCTGTCAAATAGCTTAAGAGGCTTGCCTCACTTCTGCTGCTGTAGCTCCATCTGAAATAATTGAATTATGCTACTAAGTTTGATTTACAAGGGCTTATTCTCAAGGATACGCTTCTCATCAACATGAATGATTTGTTCAACGTTAGTATTCAATAATAATTACTATGCATGAATCTGTTTACCACCTTTGCAGAATTCACAGATAGTAGTAGATGTAGCAAGCTGAACAGTATCAAAAGAAGTAATTGATCATTTAATAAATATTTTAAGCATCTGCTCAGAATTAAGTAGATGAATCTCTATAGCTTCAAATTCTACTTGTATATTTGCTGATATTCATCACTGCTCCAGCCATTTAAGGATATGCTGAAATATACCTGTTGATCTTCAGGTTAGCATTCATTAAGCTAGTTATTCTGAATGTTATTTCTCTTATATATTAGTGCTGGAGGGACTTTTGAATCATTTGTACAAATAGCTATAATTAAAATGATGAATTCTCAATTTCTATTCTAAATTACTATGATATGCTTATTTTTCAGAGATTCAACTTAAGCAATATACTTAGTAGTATATCCAAGCTTGATTAAAAATTCTTTCTTATCACAGTTGTAAATATCTAAGAGTTCAAGATTGAATTTTACAATAAGATAAGTTAACTAGAAATAGAGTCATTTCATTAGCAATCTGCAAAACTAACAGAAAAAAATAGTAAATACTTAACTAACCTGCTTGAAATAATCTTCAAAGTAGTTAGAATTGTCTGTGATTCATTACTTTTGATCAATTGTACATAAATAAATACTTTTCAGCTTATTTTTATGATGCAGATAAAATCAATTTATCCAGTACTCTTCAACAGGTTCTTTAGTAAATTTAGCCACTAAATTTCACACTATTTGAGGTGTAGGAGCAAGGCCATGGCCTGCTAGATGATTTATATGCTGAATAAGTATTTCTTCTTGCAAGTTAATTAACTTTTTATGATATTTTAATATCATATCAGATTTGCAGATCTGCTTATTTTTATTCTACTATGTTAATGTAGTTGGACTGATTTTATATTTCAAAGCAGTTTGCTTATAATTTGGAAATTCTTGTGATCTTAAATCTTCAATTGCAAGCTGAATTGCAGCTTCATTGACCATGGTGTTGAGGTTTGAAGTTGAAGATGGAATTATGAAATCATTGGGTGGCGGAAATCGTTGGGTGGTCAATCACGTTAACTACAACATCAAGGGACGAAAATGGCATTTCCCCAACATTTCCTGCAACTTAGGTTGTATCACCATGTGGGCCATGGTGGTAGTGCCACACTTATTACGTCGAAGGACAAGAATATTTATAGTAATTTTATATAACTGCACACAACGAAGTAGTAAATACATAGAAGGTGAGGTGAATCCTTACTCTAGGTAACTACTGAGTGGACATAGAGTTATTTGGTTAGGGCCCGCAATCACGAGCAAAAGAATCCCCGTTCTAGAATTAAAATATACATTTTCCAGCACATGTTCGTTTCGCGAGCTTAGATGATAGGCTTTTGGTTCGAAAATTAGTCACCGGCCACTGTCATTTGATAATATTACTAAATAATCAGGTTAGAGATAAACGCGCCCGGAGGCTGTTTTCGGTCTGTTTAACAAACATTAGTCAACTGGCACGTGAGGAAGAGGATTATGATATGCATCCATAGATGGATTGTCCGGCTTATTCCCGCTGCCTTCGTCAGGTTTACACGGCTCTCTATCTAGTTAGGTGTTATAAGATCGGCAGATCCTTATTTTTGATGTCATATCACTGTGGAGAACCCGCCATGGGCCACTATTTGGAAGTGCTGTTGGAAAAACCACGCGGGTCTGGGTAAACCCTAGTGATCAACTATCCAGACTTCACAAGCTTTTCAATACCGACCGGAAGAGACCTCTAAGCACGTGCGAAGACACCCAGTTAGATATCGATAAAGCATTCTATATTAATCAGCGTTTAATAGCGAATTCATACCCACCAAGGCCATTCAAAGAGGAAGAACATAAAAGAAACTAACATTTAGAATAGTTAAATCGTTAATCATATTGTCATCAAAGGCCAGTAGAGTAGTAGCAATGTTGGTTGTCAGAGACATCCCACTGAAGCCACTGGTGGAGAGATTGGTAAAAACTTTAAATTCTACATCAATGATGTGGAATCAAGGGGATCGTCCTACACCCAACGTCGACTTTGATGGGGCTTTGATATTTTGATATAAAAAGAAAAAAGAAGAAGACTACTTATTCCCGTGTATATCAGGAAGCGAGAGAAAGGTGTCAACGGAATGTTCCGCTACCAGCGCCCGGCGCGCCACATAAATGCTTGATTTTTTTCTTCTTTTTTTTTACAGCCAAGAAGCACTATTTTTTGAATTGAACCAACGACGACTGGAATAACTAACTAGCGAATTAAAAATAAAAAAATTAAAATTAAAATAAATTGCTTGTTTTACCTATGTGCTTGTGCTTGGGCTTGGGGATATTCATTTCAATTTCAATTGCCCCTCATTAGGGGGCACATGCAGCACATCAAAAGCTAATGAGCTATGGGCTTAATTAGTTCGGGGAAATCCCTCATCCTATTATTCTTCCAATTCAGCAATTCAGGACATTTCTTCCAGGGCTTATTAGCTTCAAGCTAAAAGCGCATTCTCATGAAGAAAAACTTAATTGAATAGTTGGGTTTGCGGGGCACGAATGAGATCTTGGGATTCATTCGCTTTCGTTCTGTTGGCACTGAACTTGCGATGATGCCCCGAAAGTACCCAGCTTTGGTAGCTTGGATCGGAACTTCATAGCATCGGCGAAATGCGGAATCACCAGCAACTTTGGAGTCTCACCTGTCAAAGAAGAAGAGAAATGAAAAGAAAAAAGAAAAAAAGAAAAGAACCTGCCTCGATCGTCAGCTCGGACCGCAGCAATATTCGCACTGTTCATACAGAGTACCATTCTCAGATCTTTGCCCTTAAATAGTTAGTTAATTACAATGATTAAATTCTAACTCTAACTCTAATCCTAACCTTTCTCTTACCCCTGTTGTTGAGGGCAGTCGAAGCTGAATAGAGACATAGTAGGAATGTGTGTGAGGATAATGTCGGCAGTGCTTATCTATATGTGGGGTTGACAAGAGTTGATCATCATTTAGTTTCATGTGGGTTGGACTTTTTAAATAACGTAAAGTTTATATAATTCAGTAGGTAGGTAGATAAGCATGTCGTCAATGCGTCACCTTGGCAGTCTTGGTCGTGCAACGCTAGATGCAAATTGATCATTTAAGATTCTTTTTAATCTCAAAGCGCTGTTTATAGATCACTGCAGGAATAAACTCCGAATGCGTGAACTGATTCCTAGAGGAACTGGGTGGGGTTTCAATGAATTTTGCTGATC